GGATATGGAGAACACATGTTAAAATGGACCAAATTTCATTTTTTCCTTCATTAATTGATATTATTCTGTGAGTTAATGTTGAAAATCTGAAGCGTTCCTACAGGTCTTTCTCCCACAGTGTTGTGCAGGCAGATGAGAGTAAACCAGCTTGCTCACTTCTGGGATCTGGGAAGTGTGACCAAACCCTGACCCTCCCCTCCTGCAATTTCCATATGGGCATAGAAAAAAGAAAGGGCAGAAGCAATGGCCAAGAAAGAACTATCGCATACCAAAGAGTTACTATATTTACCCACTTCCAGAGGACTCAGCAGCTCTGGTACACAACCCTCCTTGAAAAGAGGACAAGGAGATTCTGGTTGTCTTTAGATGCCAGGGTAACTAAAATTCTAGGTCAGCCTTAAGAGATTCGCCTCCTGCACACAGATTTTAGCTGGGTTTGGGAATATTTGCCTGCAGGGCAGCAATGGGCTGCTGGGTAATGAAATGTCAAAGCCATGGTCCTCATCCCCCAGCTTCACATGATCTTTAGCAGGCCAGAACCACTACATACTTTAGATAGAAGATCAAAGCTCAAATTTGTTTTGGAATTCAATCAATAGGCAATATGGAAGACAGGAAAAGTTCTTTTACACTTGCCCAGAGAAAAGAGACCCCAGCCAATGCAGAATGCTGCGGTCTAAGGGGCAACACAGAGACAGGCCAGCCAAGAGTGCAAGCAGGTATGACCAACTGAGCTCTGGTTCACCTAAGCCAACTACAAATTATTTAAAAAGAAAAATAAATAAATATATATATCTTGCTCCAGATAGCCTGTGGGAGCTAAATGTCCAAATGAACCTACGAAACATGCCAACAAGCTCTAAAAAATGCGCTTTTTTCTGCCTAGATTATATTTTTACTCTGCAAACGTACTAGCTTTGCATGTTTCCAGTCCCAAAGACATTTTCATCTGAGATCTCTTCACATCACAAACTGAATTCTTATAAATGCTTAGGAAACAGAGCCCTAAATAGAAAACTTTTTAATGAATATGTGGATAACCTGACAGCATTCAGCTAGCTCAGAAAGAGCCAACTGAACCTTTCACTCCCACTACAGATTCAGAGAGGCATTACTCATTTCATGAATAAAAAGTGAAAAACCCGAATAGCAGCAATGAACACTCTCAAAGATGAGGAAAAAAACCCCAGCATTCAAGATCCAAAATAATACACAGAGGAGGCGGCAATCCCCATTCCAGACCATCCCTTCTGGAATGTCAGCCATGCTCCTGCTGTAGCACCACTCCCAGGTTATCTGGGCTTGCATCTTCTACAAATCGCCTGGTTGTAAATAAACTCCAGAGGACTCGTGTATCACTCATGCAGGAATTCCTAACAAAAACTTGCCATGTTGTTTTACCAAGATATGTTGTGAAACAAATCCCACCACATTTTCCCCAGAGTAGGTAATCAGCAGGTCCAACAGGGCTGGACATCAAAAGATAGAGCCTAGGGACTGAGAAAAGAAGTTCACTTAATGATGTGTAGAAGACTGGCAACAAGAACATGTGAACTGGTGGCAGTCAGTAAAGTCATCCTAATTCCCTAGCTTGTTCTCGAAACTGATCACCTTTTCACAGCTGATAGGGTCCTGCAATACTCATGGGACCAAAGACTTTATCATTAAACAAAGCATACATAACTCTGCATTTTAAGACTTCTTTTTTCTGACCACATCTGTACACAGAGAACTATCATTCACATTTTAACTAAAATACAAAAGAAAAAAATATCTGATAAGCCACATATGCTGTGCAAGTAAAGAACACTTTCACAGAGCATGGAAAGCAAGTGCTACATGAGAGAGCTTGACTTACCCTCCAGATCCGTGGGTAATCTATCACTACACACAACTTAAAACATAATGTAAGGTGTGAGCCAGGAGAAAATGGGACATGCATGACTCCTTCAACACACATATACCTTTTACAAGGTTAAAATTGCTTATATATTTCCACGTGTGCATTTATCAAAAGTATGTTACATACCAGCAGTACGCTATTTTCTCCCTTGACGTGAGGACCATGCCACTAGAAAAGCTTCAGCTTTACCAATTATGTTTAGGAGCAGACGAAGTAACAGAGATGTTAGCTACAAAAATGAAGAATTAAAAAAACCTAGCTACCAGTAGAGTCAGACACCAATGCAAAGATGAGGTAATTACCAGCTGGAGGGTAAATTAAGAAGTAACAACAATCCTAGTAAGTAGAGTGAACTTTGCAAAAAAGTGCTCCAGATCAGATAATCCCCAAATCTTTGGCTATAAACTTCTCCAGACATTTGTATTGCACTTATTGCTATGGCATCAAATTATTTTTTGATGTCCAACCAGCCTGTCAGATTAAGGCTGTAAGCCTTTGGGGAGAATTTATTTATCTGTATGCAGACTGCCCTAATCCAAGATTTCCATTATTCTGCTAAAGAATCAGACTCTTGGTTTGAGCTTCTGTTACTAACATGCTACTCCTTGAAGACACCACACACCCCACACCCCCCCCGAAACAGAATGGGCAATTTAAAAATAGCATTGGTATGAGAAACAGCTCATTTTTGTCCTGGGAAGAGGTTCAAACTCAGTGATTCTCCAGCACAAGGGAACTCTAGAGCTGCAGGTCAGGCTGTCAGCCAGCTGCCTTCTCCTGCTCTGGTTCTCACCCCTTCATGACAACTCCATTATCCCAAGAATGCCAAGATTGCAAATGCCCCAGGATAGGTTGGGTCGTGCCATGATTTGCTTTCCCTGAGCCAGACTCTCAGACTTTGTACAACTTTTTAAGGGAAGGGGAACCACGGAAAACCGGACATCTGCAGATGGTCATCTCTTTGATGTGAACAGGGCAAAGAAACTTCAAATAATCTGGGTTTTCCCAGGTTTTCTTTCCCATCTTTCTTACCCTATTTCAAAACACAGCACAAGGGAAACTTCATCCCAGGTGTCTCGAGTCATTCAGAGTACTGTGTGTTTCTTTGCAGGGATATCAGCTGGGCCTTTTGCTGAGTTGTATATGGAGGCGAGCACTTCTGGCATTTGCTGCTAGTTGGGCACAACAAAAGCCAAGTCCAAATGAATTCTGAGACTGCAGAGTGGGTCTACCATCATCAGGAGAGGGTGGACAGCTCCAGCAGCTCTCCCTGCTAGCACACTAATGTAGTCTTATTCACATTCAGGTCAAATATCTACTAATTGCTTTTTATCCAGATGCTTTTCTAATTTAGGCACTGTAACTGCAAAAATGAAAGCATTCACGATTTATGAAAAAAGAGGTGGCTGCTTATCATCTGGATGCTGCTGGCTCTAGATACTATGACGGGCTTACTCTTCATAAAAGCAGCCTTACTGAAAATGGAGACTGAGTATCTGCTATATCTACAGGTACACCCAGAGCTGTGGATTCAGACATGGGAAGGGTTTGCTCTGCTACAGTTAAGAAAGATGTAATGAGCATCAAGTCATTTTACACTGCATTACAGAAGGAAACAGTTTGCAGGTCTTGGCAAATCTTTGATGCTTGCTTTTCAATCCTGGTGAGTAGATGTTAACTAATGTCATTATGAACACTTTAATCCAGAGGGAGATATAAGAAAAAACCTCAAAGATTAATTTGATAGAAGCTCTACATTTAATTCACTATGCTATGTCCAACACTGATGACAAAATGACACTCAAAAAGAATTCTTCCACTTTAAGTAGAATAGATAATGAGTCACTAAAAAAATAAATCTCTACATTGTGGCCATACACCAGCTCCTGGGCTATTCTCAAGGCTCAGACACAAACTTTGACATCCTGACTTCTATCTCATAATGGTTAGAACTCACCCTAAGTTTCTTCCGAACAGAGAACTGGTGAAGATACTAACTTCTTTTAAGTGTGTGTCTCCTCATCCCCAGCATACAGACAGCAGCATATATTTACACTATCCAAAAGGAGTTGCAACTTTCAACTACTTTTTAGTTTAATTAATAAAATAAAAATGGAATATGGATTTCAGGGGATTTAAACTCAAGCAGGCTCTAAAATCCGGTCTCTGAGATGGAAAAAAAAAATTAGTAGCATGTGACACTTAAATGACTGACACATACTTAAATGACAGAGCAACGTTTTCCTATCTGGTGCTTTGCACAGCATTAGAAGAGTATTCTTAAGGTGATGAGTCAATTCATCCTGACTGGCTGCTTTCCAAGAATATCCACTGGTGCCACTATTAACACCTGTAACAACCTTGCACAGCTACACAGAATTAAGATTATTATTTTTTTTAAAGAGGAAGAATTACTTTTGATTTTAGCTAAAACAATTATGAAACCTAAAGCTTACACATACATTTTGGTAGTGATCATTACTAGTAAACTGCATAAAGAATAAATATCAGTACTTCCAAAACTGACACCATCATAACACTGCTGCTTGATACATCAAGCAGGGACAAAACACAAACAGCATACTCCCGACGGAAGTCTATTAAACTTTACAATGTTATTAGTAATAAGTAGCACAATAGAATAAGCTAACTGATTAAAACAGTTTTCCCCAGATGATGCCCCTCTATGTTCATTAGCAAAACCACTTGTAACATACAATGAGAAGTTCAGAACAAGCACAATGGTATTAGCTTTCTATAAGCACTCAGAACTGCAATTTGTCAGCAGTACACTGTATTTTTGAGCAGATAAAGATTTCTGTAAATTTGCATGGCTGCACATATAAGCAGTAGTTCTCCAAGAAAAAAAAAAAGTTAAGACACAGTTTGTTGTTTTGTCAGTCCTTAACAAAATGAACACAATCGGGCCAAAACAGTTTCTTAAAAGTAGGTCAAAAATACCCATTCATGATCACTTCTGCATTGGTTTCCTAGCAAATTAATCTACCCACACAGATATACGTAATGCGTATCCTGGAGACAGTGAGGCAGAGGAAGAAAACCAAATACATTAATGAGGTAGCTTAGACTGAATAACTGCAGTTAAAAGTTTTATTGAACAAAAGAAGGTAAAATGTGGTACTCCAAGTTCACTGAGCAAAAGCAGCTCTCTCGCTGAAGCTGCACATTGTGCTAAATAACCTTATTAACTGAGACTATACAGAGGACACATTATGCAAGTTATCTCAACAGCAAAGGAGAAAATGTAGATTAAATTTGATCTGATGGAACGATTTGGTCAAATTCTGTGACTTAATGTTTCTAGCCCTTATCTACCTATATTCAGTACAGGCATACAACAGAATATACAACTGCACTGAATTCCCATTAGTTAATAGTGTGTGCTCCCATGCAAGTGGAAGCCAATTCCTGAAAAACACCCAATTAAAAACCCCAAACATTTTAAATCTTTTGTTTGAAACGTCACTCAAGCGACTCAGGAAAAAACACTCAATATATTTTATAAAAAAAACCCTCGGCCTCTAGAAGGTCCGCTTCCTGTATAGTGCTAATAGTTTAAAATTATTTTATTTCTCCCCTCTGCCTAAGAAACTTCATATGCTCTGAAAGCACCCACAAAGTCAGGTGGGTAACCAGATATGTCAAAAATACTCTGTGAAAAGAGGGAGGTAGCTCAGGCCCCTTGGCAACCTTCTGTCATAGTTCACATTCACGTGATCTACCTCCCCTTGTAATCGGCAGTCAAAAATGAAAGGAAAAAGGATTTCAACTATGAAATTTACTGAAAGAACGTGTTCAATAAAGTCTTCAAATTTGACTCACTGGGTTTCCAAATGTAAGCTATAAGGTACCTCACACCCAATACACAACATTAATAATGTACCTAGTTCATACATTTTATAGACAATATCTTCTCATCTGTTAAACATTTGGCTCGGGTGAGTACATCTTTTTTTGTTAACCACTTGACAAACATTCTAGGCCAAACAAACAGCACAATTAATGTCAAGGTCTTTTTTTTTTTCCAGTAATTGTACAAAATGCTGTAGGCTAAGCCTAACACAAACTACTGAAGAAAAATAATAGACTCCATGATGCAGTGCAAAGGTGTTACTACAACATCATAAGTCAAGGGATGTTTCTAAGGTGCTGAAAGAGGAGATTCTCTAGACGGTGACCCCGTATTGTCCTCCGGTGGGAAAACAGTAAGAGTGCAGGCTCGAATGCCACCAAGCGATTCTGGAAGGTCAAATACTTTATGCCACTCATCTTTCTCTGGATCGTATTTCTGAACTATTTCCACCATACACCGATTATTCCAAGAATATCCTCCAACAACATAGATTTTATTTTCAAAGACAGCAACCCCAACATCACTTTGCCCACGTAACATGGCAGCAATTGGAGTCCACTGGTCTAGAGTTGGTGAGTAATATTCACAGCTTAGAACATCATCATAATCACTCGTTCCTCTAAAGTGATTTCCACCAATAACATATAGCTTGTCTCCTACAGTACACATGCAATGCAGACCTCTGACCGTTGTCATCGGAGCTTTCTGAGTCCATTTGTCTGTGTCGGGGTCAAAACACATAAGTTCCTTTTGGAAAGTATCATGGGTAATTCCCCCTAGAAAAATAAAAACACATTAGAGCAGTGCTCACCCTAATAAGCAATAAATAGCATAAACATACATTTTCATTAATTAATTCAGCCTTCCCTAAAACTATTTCACATTAGCTTAGATTACTATCACATATGTGCTCTATTTCAAAGGACATTTTTAATGTACCTTGTTCCTTTAAATCTGCATATGGAAAGAGGCCACGTGTCATACAGTACTTCAGTACATAAGATGATGCTGGCAGTTTAAAAGAACAAAAACTTGATACCTATGCTTCCTTTTAGCAAAATTATTTCTTTGCTTACATTTTTTCAGTTTGCTTGTTTTGTTTTTCACCATCAAGAAAATTCATTTCCCTTTCAAATTTTGATACGGATACTACACTATTGTGTTTTAAGTGGTCCTACCACACAGCAGAATTTTCTTCAGAACACTTTTCATCGACTTGAACTGAAGAGAGAGAGGACACTGATTTCAAATATTCTTCTGTTAATAGATGCCTATGGTTCTCTCTATATTTACCTTCTCTATGGCTCCCTGCAAAAGCAGTTGGAGAGGCTTCAGGGGAAATCACAGGACAATTTCCCATCAGTGGATGAAGTGTCCCACCTTTCCACAAGGTCACTAGGCAGGTCAGAAAGCAGTCACACCAATTTCAGACACTGTAGGCTTATTAGCTATGGTTTAAGACCATAATGCAACTGTATTTGAGGTGCTAAAAAATATGCAGAGAACACTGCTACTGAACAACCTCCTGCTGGGGTAACCATTCAACATTGAATTATCACGCTTGGGTTATTAGCAGACAGAGATAGCACAGTGTCTATAGGAAGTTATGCAAGAAAGTACTTCAACCTCCAGCTGGAAAGTAAGAATTACATACAGAAAAAATAGGGGGACTGTCCAGCCCTGACACTTAACAACAGCCATAGTAGTGGCATTGCTTGGGAGCCTATCAGGGAGGCAGAAGCTTTAACAACAAAAGAACCAATCTTCACATTTTCATCCCCAAAGTGTCCAGACTCACAGGGATATCTGAGAGGACAGGAAAAGAAAACTATGTGGGAAATACACACTATTTACATGAAAAAAAAAAATCACAGCAGGGAGCATATACGTGTGCCCCCTGCAGTAAAACAAGCAAAATGAGCAAAAAAAGTACAAATTGCAGCATAATGATTAGCTTAATGGACTTGCTCATAGAAAAATAAGCAGCTGTACCTTACAGTAAATTTTAAAGCAAATCCCTCCTAGTCTACTGGCACAAGGCCCCCTTATCCAAAATACCCCGAAAATCAATCTGCTCCAGTGCATATCCCCACCAGCTCTTCACAGCTGAGTAACCTGAATTTCAGCTTAGTTCTTAGAAGGCATCCCTTACAATTGCAGTAGGAGAACATATATAGGTCTGATCTCTGTAGAGATCACTGGCAGACAGATTGAATCTTCTTTAAAAACTGAGCAGATATCAGATTTTCAGAAAACCTGCCCCCAGTTTGGAAAAAAATGGAATGAAACTATAACCTGTGACATATAGGACTGAGCATATTACAAATGAAAGACTAGTGAAAGTACAGAAATTATTCATATATTGTGATTAACATGAAAACTTATCCCTTTCCATTAGCTCAGTGAAGGCAGATGTTCTTCTTTAAAGTATAAAAATTTCCAGTGCTAACCAAAATGCAAAGAGGATGTATTTAACGGTTATTTCTATATCAATGTATCTATGTGCTGTTGCCACAAAAAAATTTATTCTGACAGTTAAAGTAACTGCTTTGGAGTTCAGAGCTATCATTTACTAAGTAAATGCATAATAGTATCAAAAATAATTTTGTCAGACTCTGCAGTATTTATGTTATTTGACTGGCTTCATATGAATTTGCATCACTGCTTGTACCATGGCAAACCTATTGCAATCAGAGACTAATTTTTATTGTCTCCCACTGAAATAGGAAAAGTTAGATTAGTAATTGTTTAATAAAAATTATATGATCATATGAATCATTTACCTGAAATATACATTAATCCCCCATAGACGGTTCCAGCATGACCATAGTGGGGTTCATTCATTTTTGCCACGTAGCTCCATTCATTCATTCTGGGATTGTAACATTCCACAGTGGCTGTTTAAAACAAATGAGAATATAAAAATGTTGAAGCTAGCATGGCAGTCTGAGCACAGTAGCAGTGGCAGTAATATACTCACAAACAGAGGAAGTATCAATGGGAAACATTGTTCAGCTGAGAAAGTGTCAAGGGAATTACTGAGTATTATGTTGAGAGACAATACAGAAAAACCTCAAGCTTCGTCCCAGAGGAACAAAGAGGAAGAAAAACCCCTCTTGCCTTCTGGCCTTCCTCTTGTCTCATTCCCATTCCTGCTTGACACACAACCTGCCCCGGCTCACGAACCCGGCCGGAGGTACAGCTCTGGGACAGAGAGAATGGCAACAAAGCTGGGTGAACTCAGCTTATCTACTCTTTCCTCTTGTACAATTCCCTTCAGTGTCTGCTGCAGAGAGGGAATAAACTTAAAACCCATCTCAAAGAGCATCAATACATCTGGCGACTAGAACATTTTTCTCAGACCCATTTCTTCAGCAACACCCCACCCATGCAGAAAATCAGGCTAGATTTTCTTCTTGGTATTTTGCATTGAAATGGTCCTGTGCCCTCAAAAGGGGGCAGCAACTGTTGAGTAATTTTCTATTGTCTTGCAATGTTTTAAGTACTTGCACATCAACATAGAGCACAGCCTGTGCAAGTCACTAATTCAAACAGTTTACAAGAGCCCAGGTTTTAAAAAAATACAACATCACTGAATCTCGAATGGAGAGAAGCAGTGCCTGTGTCGATACACAGCTCCATTTCTGCAGTTTTCTTTGTGAATTGGAATGTTAAAATGATCAAAGGTTTTATCAAATCAGAAATCACAGAGGTTAGTAGAAGTTAAAAAGAAACCCAGAGCCCAGGTGTCCTTGCAGAAAGCATTTCTGAGAAGGAAGCATTTCACTTCAAAGTGGGATGGAAGAGGTGTAAGGTTGCAGGAAAAGGGATATGCAATAAGCACAGAGACTAGAAAACAGATTTAACAATGGATCTGAGCAAGCTGTAGAGACTGGCAGCTTGAATAGTACAGTATGACCAGAGGGGCAAGAGATCCTGAAAAACCTTGTAATATAGCAACCTTACGATGCACAAAGCAATTATCAATAATTGTGTTATCTTAAAGACAAATTAAATCTCATTTTAAATAATTAAGCATCAGATTCTAATGCTTGTTATTCAGTGCTTAATCTCTGAAGAGAGATGTTTATGAACTATGTGTACAAAACTGAATCTGTCTTTGAAAGTGGTATTTTACTTGCTCTAAGAACAAGCTTTTTATCTAGTCAAGGGTAGAAAAATCTGAGCCAGCTCTATGGAATCAATGATGGTGACTTACAGTCCAGGATTACACATCAACTGAAAGAGACAAAAAAAGAAGCTGCGAAACTGGACATTTTGAAGGCAGAAGCTAGTTAGTGTTAGTATAAGCCTGCAGAATTAGCAGTACTGGCCAGGCCAGTAAAGGACATCAATCAGTAACACTCATACAGTGACCATAAGATACCCCAATATAGAAAAAATTCTATATTGCACATGAGAATTGCTAAATTGTTACAGCACACTAGATTTCCTTTGGCTTTTCCCCATCCAGGAGCTGAAATTTAAATTTAAGAAATACAGAAAAGTGCTGGTCACGAACATTAAGTTCACGATATAAAGAAAATCCACTAAATTCCCATTTCTTTCAAAACAAATTCTATACTTTGATCCATAAGTATGAAATGATTAATTTCACATTCTTGAAATTGTTTAGTAATGACAGCCTGAAATGCTTCTGGTTTTCTAAGAGTGGCTTGCACACATACTCCCAGTTACACCAGCCATCTCGGGGCCTCGTAAGATGGGTAAAAAATAAAAAACTGATGCAAAGTAACTGAAGACAAGTGGCTCTATACACTACTGTTGATATGCCAAATTTGTGATTTTAAAAAACCTGCTCAATATAATATGGGCAAGTTCTAAGGTTTACTCTAAGACATCAGTCCTTCACTAAACACTTTTCCTACAATCTAGCCTTCTTGTCACTGCATTTCCTACCTCAGCCTTTTGAAACGAGCCCCGAGCTGCCTTTCACATTACACACATGTACAGGTAGATAAAAGTCTGCATAAGGAAAAGTACAAAACGGCATTCAAGCATTCTTCTAGAATGAAAATTTTTAAAGTCAGGCTTGATTTTTTTTTTTTTAATCAAGTCAAAAATCTCTTTAAAAAAATTGGCATTTTTCCCATTTGATATCCTGCAGACTTTGTGTATCCATCAAGGACTTACATGGCCATAATGCCAGTGAATGCTAGAGACAGTATCATGCTCAAATAAAGGTACAAGCACAAAGAATTGATTCCACAAATTAGACCTAAAATTAAAACTGAATTGTATTTCTGTGTGCTGCCATCTTGACACCATGTGCAGTATTTGCCCAATCCCCAAATAAACCCACGCTCTTTTTTGTATAAATGTATTCATCCATTCCAGTAGTCTTCTAAAAAGGAAAGCTCCTTTCTAGTCCGCTCTATTTAGCAATCAGAAGAAAACAAAGATGTGCAGAAATTTCAAGAACAGAGAAAACCAGATTTGATGCACAAGTAATTATAGCTGTCCCAGTTCTACCCTGACGGCAGACCCTTCTGACCTGCTGTTCACTGTTATGCTGGACCAAAATCATCGTTCTACTTGTTTTCACAAAAACAAAGGCATCCTTCCTCCCATGGTACTTCCACTCTGTGCTGAGGTGAGGAACTTCAATTTCTAATACAGTATAAGGACAGGAAGAGCAGAGTACGTGCAAAGCCATCGCAAAGCCAGCAGCAACCAGATTAACGTGGCATTTCACACTGGTTTATCTCACTCTGCACTACGGATTGCATTCAAGAAAGAAACTATGGCCAAAAGATCCCTTTAGCAACAGAAGATAAAACATGCAGAAATTGGCATACATTACAGCCATCTCTATCACCACATTATAAAGACATTAGTTATCTAAGAAAGGATGCCATTGACGCCAAGATCCCTTTCTGATGTGGTTTCAAAATTCTCTCAAACATCACCAGTAAAGCTAAAGTGCTGTTTGACGGTATTTCAGACAAATCTCACATCTACCATGCTCTAAAACAAAGCTAATTATTTCCCAGCTGAAAAAACCCTACTGTTCAGTTTGGTGGTTCTGCATAGTTGTTTCCCTGTTTCCTTGCAAGGTGATTCAATTTCTCTCTTCTAACAAGATCTCCCTCTGCACTGAAAAGGAAAAAAACATACAAAATTCCAGCTATTAAAGGTGCACATCAATTTAAGAGAGGCATCAGGATGTTCTATATGTCATCACCAGACAGAGCACAACTCACAAAGCACTCAAAGGAACTGTGACTTTACTGAACCTAAGTATACATTCTATATAGCACGAGACTAATGGATTAATTTTCCCAACAACATGAATGATTCAAATCAGGCTTTATTTATGTTTAACAGTGGAACTTCTGATCTGTTCATTACCATAATCCAGAGAAGACAGGCCTCATTTTAATAGAATTAAGCAATCTCAAAAAGACACAAAGCTTTGGCAGTCCCAAGGGATGCTCAGTCTGCACTCATTTTATAGTGCCATCTGTGACGCTATTTGAGGAGTATACAGATACTTACCACTTCTCTGTCAGTAGCTTCTCATGTGTCTTGAGGTTTATTACAGCAGCACTTAGCAACTGCGCGTGATGTCCCAAAACCCAACATCTTAATGTTGTTATATTATTTCTATAATACGGCTTGCTTCTGTAGAACTCAAAGCTGACTTGGTTAAATTTAAACACAGCTCTGAGTAATTTTGTCCCTAGCATAGCAAGGAGCCACTTCAAAATAATCTCCTATGCAAGAGGTCCTCCATTTCACACTTTGGTTTGATATTCACAGTACTACACAGAAAGCCCAACTGGGTAATGATACATATTCTTCTTCTTAACTAATGACATTTTAAATATATATTATATAGACTCACAAGAGAAGTTTTTACATAAATAAGTTGTTTGAATTGAGGGTTAAGTATCATAGAGGGCACCTGGAAAATAAATGCCTTCCCACTTGTTCGGCATGTAACTGTCCTGCCCTGGAAGTCTTCTCTTTCCGTCTTTATTGCAGCATGATAATGAAGGTAACAATGAATCAGTGGTTTAGTCACAACCCAACACCCCCTGAAGTGCTTAGGAAAAGCTCATATATAAAAATCTCAAACTCCACTCAAGCCTATCAACAGCAGTAGCTGAAGTATCCGGAAAGTACCTAACTGCACAAATTTTCTAATGCTTAAAGGCACAGCTTCTGTCATCGCCGTCAAGCACCTCAACCGAACACTTCCACGAGCAGCTACAAAAAATCTGTTTGTCTGAGAAAACAGTAGCCAGTGCTCTGCACAACAGCACAATTGCCGTGAGCTCTGCTCATGAGTATCTCTGTGAACCACATCTGGTTTTCTCTTTGTCTCCTTTCCCAAAAAGTCTTGCCTTTTGCACACCTGCCTTCTCCAGGCTGGTCTCCTGATTGTGCCAGAGTGCTGCTCTCCCTGCCTTCTGGGAATGCCTTTGGCAGGTGCCTGCTTTGACATTTAAAAAGAACCAACCAAAATTACGTACAACCCTTCTAGGATTGGTGCATGCTTCTGCACAGCCCTCAGTTGTCACAGGGTTGAAAAAATCTGAATTATAATTTCATAATTCAGTGCCTTTCAAAGATATATTTAGCATATTCCAATGTACGTACCACATACGTGCAAATTCACCTGTACTCACCAATGAACCAAACTTTTTTCAGTGACATGCACTGTTAAAGCAGTAGCTGTTTATTACTGCTAAAGCACATCCTACTGCAGTAGAAAAGCAGTATTTACAAAGTTCTCAGAAGATTAAACGTTTGAAAACTGCTTGGGGAAGGCTTGATAGAGATCCTCAAAAAAGTATAATTGTTATTCCAGTGAATGTCAGGAGAAAAAAGAAAAATAAACTCATTTTAGCAACTTTAATCCTTTGGCCCTTTTCCATAAGAGCTGATCTTCTGGAAAGCTGAATTCAGGTTTTGGGAATTTTTCCTCTCTAACAACAGATTGAAATTAGTTTGAACCCAAGGGCAACTTCTTTAATACCTGTCCAACACACATTTAACCTTCTATGAAAAGCTTGAGAGTTTTTCCGTCTGAAGAGAATGGGAAGTTTAAGCTGGATTTCATCTTTTGGCTGTCAAGATTTATGAAAGAAACATGAAAATGAAAAGTGACTTGCCTCACAATTAACAAGAAAAGAAACTGAAGCCCCAAATCAAAGCATCAGACAGCTACAATATTTAGCATTTATAGAGTGCTCTTCCCACAGAACAATCCAATGACATTTTTCAGGTCTGTGTGGAAATCATTGCAGCATTTTAATGATATCTTTACAGAAGAATTTTAGACAGGTGATAGATTTTATATTTTAATTAAAGCTGCAGAACAGTTGAGGGCAGCAGAACAAGACTGCTTGATCTAGTTTAAGAAAAACACTGCACTTAAAGACTGTTGTACACACAGGTTGCACTTGCTTAGTGACAGTATTATTTCACATTGATTTTGTTAGACTTGCAACTTTCTGACCAACATTCTTATGCCCATACGCTGTTTAGATGGCACAGTACAGAAGGACAGCAATCTGATTATCTGCTATTAATTCATACCATTAGAAAATAGTTCAATGAAAGTCAGGGTTTCTGATACTCAAGATAAAGATCAATACACATTAGTTTGTACCTTTGGTCTTTTACAGGGTATTAAGCTTGCTTTTAGAATGTATTTTCAGGAAGATAAAGTGACATGTAAGAGAAACTCTGAAAACCTCAGGATCTGCATCAGAAAATGGCTAAGAAAACAAATTATTGCAAAAGAGTTTCCCATGTTTTTTGGAAACAGGAAACATTTTTTATATCTCATTTCATCAAACATTAGAATGGATTTTAAACTTCTAGCAAAACTAGCCCAGTTTTGTGTAGTGGAAACAATATACTATATGTTTCCTAAGAAAGTTTGCAATATGATCATGAAATAAAGTGTGTATGTGAACAACTGACAAGCATTAATTAAAAAGTCACAGATGCTGCAGCACAAATTAGGTTTTGTATTGTTTCAGTTAAACGTATTTCTCACTGCATTTGAAGATACTGGTGTATTTCTAAAAAGCAAATCTTAGCAGCACAAGATACTGCCACAAAGACTTAATAAGACACGGTTAAGTATTGGGCTGAAAGCAGCAAACAAAATAATGAAATGTTACATCTGGTTTACATATAATATTATGCTAAAGTTCCAAGCATGATCACTGTAACATTTCAATTTTAAAGCACAGACAAATTTATCAATTGAATATACTCTCCCAGACTTGACTGCAAATGCTAACCACCATGGCTCTGGAAAATACAATGGATTAATACAGGCCATCCTCTACAGACTTTTGTTAAATTAAAAGTTACCACATATTTATTCGTTTTCAACCATCTTAATTCCCTGAAATTGATTTTAATTTTTTTTTTTGTCAAGTAAAATGAATCATCATTTGCAAGGCGGGGGGAAAAGTAGGCAGCAGGACAGAATCATTCATATTATGCAATGGTTTGGGTTGGAAGGGACCTCAAAGATCATCTATTTCCAACTCCCCTGCCATGGGCAGGGACACCCTCCACTAGACCACGTTGCCCAAAGCCCTGTCCAACCTGGCCTTGAACACTGCCAGGGATGGGGCATCCACAACCTCTCTGGGCAACCTGTGCCAGTGCCTCACCGCCCTCACAGGGAACAATGTCTTCCTAATATCTAACCTAAACCTACCCTCCTTCAGCTTAAAGCCATTACCCCTTGTCCTGTCACTACACTCCCTGATAAACAGTCCCTCTCCTTCTTTCCTGTAGGCCCCTTTAGGAACTGGAAGGCCGCAGTTAGGTCTCCCCAGAGCCTTTTCTTCTCCAGGCTGAACAATCCCAACTCTCTCAGCCTGTCCTCACAGGAGAGGTGCTCCATCCCTCCAGTCAGCTTCGTGGCCTCCTCTGGACTCACTCCAGCAGCTCCATGTCCTTCTTATGCTGGGGGCCCCAGAGCTGGATGCAGTACTCCAGGTGGGGTCTCATGAGAGCAGAGTAGAAGGGCAGAATCCCTTCCCTTGACCTGCTGGTCATGCTTTTTTTGATGCAGCCCAGGACACGATTGGCTTTCTGGGCTGCAAGCGCGCATTGCCAGCTCATGTTGAGCTTCTCATCAATCAATCAATACCCCCAAGTCCTTCTCCTCAGGGCTGCTCTCAATCCATTCTCCACCCAACCTGTAGTTGTGCTTGGCATTTTCCCAGAGTTTGTTAACTATGTAGTCACAAGATCACAGGCAAAATGTAACATTTTTAGTAACCAAAAAGTTCAGAATGTCAGGAGATCTGAATCTCACTGATCTGTGAGTGAAACAAATCGCTCAGTCATTAGTTGTCTTAAAAAAAAAGACTAGCATTTCAAAATTACTATTCCAGAAAATTTGCATCTTTTAAAATGCAACCTTCATTCAACAGTGAGTTTTAGTTAGAAAGTCATGTATCCCTTAAGAGTCAAAAGAGTGGGTTTGGTTTCTCAGCTTAAGTAATGATTTTTTTGAATATAGTTGTGTTTTTTTATATATATATATACACACACACACACACTTATACAGACACACATGCTTACTTCATGTTTGATGATATTGGTGAAGCATTGGATATTATGCATTAATACACAAGAGACATGTATTTGGAATTTTTTTTTGTGGAAGCCCTTCTAAAACTAACTGCTAATAGCACCCAGACAAATTTCTCTATGCATTTGTAGTATTTCCAGAAAGAAGCTGCATGCCAACAACTTCAACTTGTTTCCTCTCCACCCGTTCATAGGGCAGCATAGTATTTCAAGGCCTAAAAAGCAAGGCAAGAAGCCATGCTTCAGGAGAAGCACTCACCTAGCTCACCCGCTGCATTTCGACCACCGACTGCATACAAATGTCCTTTGAGGGCACTTAGGTGGAAGAAGGTGCGCTTCTCATTTAAAGATGCGACTTGCATCCACTTGTTGTAGCGAGGATCAAACCTAAAGACTGTGTCAACTGCCGTCTTTCCTTTCGTGTCATAATTGCTCTGGCCCCCAACTACATAAAGAAAGTTTCCAATAACGGCGATGCCGTGCTGGTACCTTGGTGCATCCATGGGAGCTAAGGATTTCCATTCATGGGCCTTTTCATCATACATCCGTAACTCCTTGCTGACAACCAGCTGCTGCCTGAGCACTCCCCCCAATGTCACCAAGTGAGTACTGTCTGACCGAATGGCAGTTCTCTCCGACTGCATAACCGGTTGCATGTATGGCATCATTTGGTAATTGCTGGCTTCCAAAAGCAAGTTTACACAGGTATTGTCAGTTCTCATGAAGTCCACTGTTTGAACGTAGTTAATAAGATCCTGGGGCGTCATCAGCGGAAACCTGATGTTCTTCATTAGCTTTGCAGCGTACTCCATCCGAGGCTCCTCATACCGTAGCCAGCGACAAGCCGCCTTGAAGAGTTCGAGTTCAGTGCAGTGCTTAAGGCTATTACTTGAAAGCACAAAGGCAAGACGTTCAAAGGGGAGTTTCACAAATTCACCAGTACTTAATAATGCAGGGAAGTTCTTCAGGATGAAATTATTAACATATTTATCCACTTCTGTGAGATTGTATGTGTTGGCAATTCGCCCAACCTCAACACAGTTTTCCAACGAAACCTATTAAGTAAACAGAAAGAGGAATCAAAACACTTTCTTAATTTGGCATCTAAATGATAATGTAGAATTTAATGAATACTATAGCATCAGCAATATTTCGTCATTTCACAGTGCTCAAGGTGATTTGCACATAAGGAAATAAATATTCAATGTGATGTATATATTCATGACTGCAAGGGTAGACCCAATGTATTCCTTATTTTGAAGACAGAAATGAGACAAGTAACAAGCAGATGGCATATATTAATTGTGTCAAATACATTATACAATGATGATACATAGCAATTATACAGCACTTCATCTTTGCAAAGCTCCGCAAACATCTTCGTAAGAAAGACGTGTGGAAAATACAGTTAAGAGAGGTGATCAGCCCAAGGTTACAGAGAATAATGCAAAAGTAGGTCTTGCCATTAGACATTTTCTAACATCATTAAAATTATATTGTCGTAATGCAGCCAAAGAGAATGGTACAGCCACCTCTCCAATGCTACATATTTCAGACAACTTACAGTGTTCCATCCCATGAATACATTCCTTAGAAACAAACAAAAGTGGATCTTTAGTAAATCAAGGTGGTGCTCTTACAGAATATGTTCAAAATGAAATACATGTCCAAAAATAAGATCAAGGTAGTGATTTTAATGTTTTTATATATTTTACTTTTTTTTATAAAATAATGAACCTAGGAGTATTTCCCCTAGAAATATCCAGCACATGAAATGTTTTAGCAGTATGGATTATACCCTAATCTATTTCAATACTTGAGTGACCATATCTTGATAACTATCTCTTTTACACTGTTGCTGTATCTGCCTTTCTTACATCTTTGGCTCCTAAATTTCTGAGGTCGCTTGGGATCCAAGGCAGAGGGAGGAAGAAAGACAGCAGGGATGGGACATAACTTAAAGTGGGTCTCCAGTGAACCTGGCCAATTCATTTCAGCAAGCTCTATGGTACATATGCAAAGCAAGTCAATTTTTCAAATGCTTCTTGCTGAGAATTGTAGCTTTTTTGCATTCAATCCTTATTCTAACCCAAGCTTCATTTACACATGCTTTCTAGTCTCCCTGCATGTCAGTCCTACTCAATGTCGACAACTTCCACAACTTTGTGATTCTCATTATATTTTAATGCCAAAAGAATTTAAGCTTCCAAATCTCATGGTTATTTTTAAAAAGATTATAAAGATTGAGGACTATGATTGATTGCAGCCTAAGAATTCAAAAACCTTCAAATGACCTTCTGGTCATGAAAGAGATAAGATTTTAATACTGTGTAACTCAATCTGATCATTGCCCTTTAATACTAGATAATTCAAAAGTCTAATGAGTATGGGAACAGGAGGGGTTTTTTAATTCACTAGAAATTGATCCAACTTGCCCTAGAGTTAAGATCTGCAGTCATCCAAAGTCTTCATTCACACATTCTGAAACACCTTCTTACAGCCAAAGGTTCCAAATCTTATTCTTCATCTCCAGGAACACTAATCCTGTAACCAGGTTCTATCTACAAGATGAACGTGTGGCAGACTGTCAGGAATTCTATTACAAAAATATCTGTGCAACGTATACACGGAAATTATTTTTGTATTACAAGACAGACCACATTGTTTATATCAAAATATCATCACATGAGCTAGCAATGACCTATATAACATTCTCTGATGCTTAAGAAACATTTTTTCTTCTTGTGACTGTTTTTGAAAGTATCAAACTAATTTCTGTACATTTTCTTTTAGGATTTTTAATTTACATAAATTAATTGCATACTAAAGTAACAGCATACCTTAAATTAAGTAAATGAAGCAGGACATTCTTACTTCTAAAATTTCTTTCAAGTTGTATAATAAAAATAAAGCGACAGAAAAACCACCCCTTAACAAGCAGCTGACAGTATATCACAAATCATGACTCTTGCTATACAGTTATTGTATTTAAAAACTACTTTGGAATAAATTTACTGGCATCAAAGCATAGAGATGCAGCATTTTCCCCATATTAAGGTAAGCAGCAGAAGTATATTCTCGCATACAGAAAAGGCATGCTCGGAAGTTAAAAGATCAAAGCAAAAAAGGTACAGATTATGTCCCATTGGTACATGGTGTTCAGGTTGCAGTGAAGTATTTAGAATATTGTAGAATGCATATCAGTTATCAAGTGCCCAGCATGCATCTCGTTGATGTATTAGCTTACAGTGTAACATAATTATATCTATGCAATTGAATATATTCCTGGAATGCTTACATTTGAGAAATTTGTCAACACATTACACACTGTTAATGACTGACGAACATGACATCGGCAGTTTCCAGTAACCCCCTAATTCTCAGAAAATTTACCTTTTACTGCCTTAATTAATCCATTGGACTTGTGCTGCACTCAGGTTTCAATTTTTTCCATACTACAATTGCAAGTACTCCCCATTACGTTTATAAAATTGTGCACTTTGTTTGGCTTGCTAACAATTAAGTAGTTTATTAAAGGTTAATTTTCCTTGGCAAAAGTACTATTACCAGTTTTACTGTGCTCTAAGATAACAATCAATGTACCAGACTAAATTATATTGCAAAGATTTCAGTCATAAAAACAGAGAGATTCTTAAGTCCTGAGCAAAAAAATAGTCCTTCAGCAGAATGAAATGCAATAGTTACTTTTACTTAAATATTCAAATTTGGACAGTGTTAAAGTACAATAATGCTATTTAAACACTTCAGTACTTAAGTTACTCAAGTGTGGATTTTCAGAAAAAACAGTTTGACTTATGCTAGGGTACTTATGAGAGGCACAGAAATGGTTCTCTATGGAAGTCAAGTCAATCAGGAGCTCATCAACGAAGAGAAGGAACTGTTACTTCTGGAAATCCCACTACAGTGAACGGGAGGAATGGAAGTGTCAGACAAAAATATAAGACTGGCTGTACAGTGAATCCAGTAGCTAGTAAAGATACTCAGATAGAAAGAGCTAAAAGCCATAACTGGTCAAACAGCTAAGCAACTTCATAAGAAATCAAGAACTTTAAATAAACCCTATTTTACTTAGGCTTTGACTACTGAGCAGAGCTACTCATTCACATTACTCATTGTAATTGCTCTTTACAAAGCAGAAGTAAAAGTTCCAGAAAAGACTAAAAAGGCTTTTCAAAAAAGAAAGGTCAAGCACAGCACAGTTTTATTACAGCCTGAAAAACCAAATGCAAAAGCCAAAGTACTTTCTTGACAAAGCAGTTGACTTAAGCACAAATACATGCTGGGCACAGAATGGATTGAGACCAGCCCTGAGGAGAAG